ATACTTAAGGTTGACTGTTATACTATGAATGTTTCAGAATACTTAAGGTTGACTGTTATACTATGAATGTTCCAGTTTTATTAAGGTTGACTGTTATATTATGAATGTTACAGTTTACTAAAGGTTGACTGTTATACTATGAATGTTCCAGTTTTATTAAGGTTGACTATTTTACTATGAATGTTACAGTTTTATTAAGGTTGACTGTTATACTATGAATGTTACAGTTTACTTAAGGTTGATTGTTATACTATGAATTTTTCAATTCACTTAAGGTTGACTGTTATATTATGAATGTTCCAGTTTACTTAAGGTTGACTGTTATACTATGAATGTTCCAGTTTTATTAAGGTTGACTGTTATATTATGAATGTTCCAGTTTACTTAAGGTTGACTGTTATATTATGAATGTTCCAGTTTTATTAAGGTTGACTGTTATGCTATGAATATTCTAGTTCACTTAAGGTTGACTGTTATACTATGAATGTTACACTTTACTTAAGGTTAGCTGTTCTGCTATGAATGTTCCAGTTTTATATAGCCTTCCACTCGACAGAACGTGTATTGAAAACAGTTGCATTGTCAGGTCAACTCATTTGAGCAGCTGAAATTATGAATATCGGCAGTACAAAATGTTATTGTAGGCCTTTATTTGAATGGTATAAATAATGTAATACACAGTTTCTTTCATATATTTATTAAAATCATGTTGATCATTAATGTATGTTTAGTATCCTTTAAGTTTCGGAGCTCTTTCCTATTTAATAGAATATTCCTTGGTACTTTAATTGATAGCAAGAATATTCTGAATTGATTATTGAAAGTTTATTTGCTAATTCCCATTATTAATTGATAGTGATAACTTTATGAAACGTTTATTAAAAATGTATTGCTAATTACCGTGGTTAATTGACAGTAAGACCATTATGAAATGCTTATTCAAGGCTTATTGCCCCCAGTGGCTCAGCGATAAGTCTGTGGACTTATAACGCTAAATATAAATTTTCGATACCCGTGATGGGTGTAGCTTTACCCTTAACAACAAACAAACCAAGCTTATTGGTAGTATCTATGGCGTGTAAATGTCTCCTATATTCTTCTGTAGCACTAACGCTAGATGTCAGTATGTTGTGAGTGGAGTGATGTCTCTAATATACATTTTTCTGGAAAAAGGGGCGCTTTTAATTCAAATACCAGCTGTGTTAGACATTTGAGGTATTCTTTTTAATGTAATTGTAATCGTTCACCGTTCGTTTATCCAGCTTTCATGCATGCTCAAATCGATTGGATGATTTGAATAAAAACTAGTCAGTCGTAGCGAATGCTTAAAAACAAAAAATAATAGAATAGCGAAGTATCGTTAGTATATTTTCATATCTTCTCCAATAATAATTGCAATTATTTTGGAAAGTGTGAGGCGTTTTTCTTTATGTTACCCTTTTTTGTTGCCTATTATGCCCTGTTAATGTTACAGATATATCGTCATCACCATAAAGCATGTGTTTTCTTACCCTAATGAAAATGTATCGGGCGTGGCCTTGTGATTAGCGTGCCGAACTCTGAATCCAAGAGTCCTAGGTTCGTGTCCCATTGCCATCCCTTTAGTCTTTAAGCTGAAAATTATGAACACCTAGGGCAAATAACCCTTGTGTAGCGATGCGTGAATATCCGAAACAAACAAACGAGTTTGCAACACTGACTTTGTATCCTTCAAACAGCAATAATATAATCTCAATGTTAAAATTCTCTAGTATAGTATATATAAACATATATATGTGGTTATCGTAAACTAAAGAGCTTTAATCGTGCGTTTAGACTTGTGTCATGTGTGATAATACAAATACTAGAATGAATAATCTACAGGGTGTCACAGAAGTCTGGACCCATAAGGAAAATAGTTATATTATTAAAGTTAAACAAACACATTTCTAATGTCAGTTGTACATGTTTAAAGAAAGAAAATATTGTGATGGCACAGTATACCAATAATTGATATGTGTATGGCCATTAATGGCATGCAGTTTGAATGATAAATAACTTAAGAATAAATTGTGTATTTTTCCTTATGGGTGCAGATTTCTGGGACACCCTGTATTTATCACAAAGGTACCATTTTAATTTCATAAGATTTGGACACCCTGTGTATATCACAAAGGTACCATTTTAATCTCATAAGATACATGATATAACTGCTGTATGTTAAATGTAATGCGAAGAAATTTATTAGGTTTGTTGAATTTTCTTCTTCTTGGAAACCTGTTTTTCCAGTTGGTTTGTTGCAATATTGTAAAAACGGGATCTTTGAGACAAGCAATGAGTGTTCTTACTTTTTTTAATCATTTGCAAATAATTGAATAAACGAGTTAAATAAATAGAAAAATAATAATAAACAGCTAAAAAGTAGAATCAGGCTATTGTCAACTGATACGAGTTACGTTAAGAACTAGTAAAACATCTACACGTAGAATCTGGTCCTTGTTAATTGTTACGAGTTATGTTAACCACCAGTAAAACATCTACACGTAGAATCAGATCCTTATTAACTGTTACGAGTAACGTTAACCACTAGTACAACATATACACATAGAGTCTGGTCCTTGTTAACTGTTACGAGTTATGTTAACCACTAGCAAAACATCTACACGTTGAATCTGATCATTCTTAACTGTCACGAGTTATGTTAACCACCAGTAAAACATCTGCTCATAGAATCAGATTCTTATTAACTGTTACGACCAGTCACGTTAACTACTAACTAAACATTTACACGTAGAATGAAGTCTTTGTTAACTGGTACGACCAGTCATGCTAACTACTAACGAAATATCTACACGTAGAACCCAATATGACCACCATCATATGAAAATGTTGTTCGATTTGCTTTCAGACTCTTTTCATATATATGCGTCTGTTATCATCTGGTTACAAGGTGAATCTTATCTATAGAAATAATATTTCACATGTTTTCGATCTACTCGGCGAGTTTTTGGACACTACCGCAAGAGCCTGTTTTATGCCTTGCTGTGAGAGGGCACATGGCCTAAAGGCTAGTAAGTTTGTTTCTACAGATGTTAACACTCACTGATAAGTCGTCTACTTGTGGAAAGTCCGTTGTGTAACTTAGCACTTGATAACAAAACAAACAGCTATAACCTGTGACTTATTACATTTATCACAATAGTAAACAGTTAAGTCATAGAAGAAATTAAAGTTTAAGTCCTAAATGGTGGTATTGAATTGGTCGACCTTCTTGAATGTCTTGGAAAGGGCTGTTATTATTTGAATTGTCTTCCTAGCTAACACGTGCACATTCTAAATAAGAAATGATCAGAGGATTGCTGCAATAATTTTCCTACATTAAAATAGCTTCTTAATTTTGGTCAGTAATGTACTCAGTCTTACACTGTCTTTTACTTTTTGTACCGTCGTTTTATTATTATGCCATTAAAACCTACTTTTCTTGAAGGGTCACCAAACCTTCAGGGAGACCAACTAGCAACATATTTGACTTAACAAATGACCAAGATAGGCTGAAATCTCCTGCTGCTAAGAACTATATACCGACCAGCATTTTTGGATCTGATTGTATCTCCAGTAAGTGTCACACCCCTCGACGCAGACGTTCTGATGACACACAGTATAAGCTCTTTGGAAGTGATGTAACAGACACAACACCGAGGAAAGTTTTGGACAGAATGAAATCAAATGTATTTATGGAAGCTGGACCAGTCACTAAGCCTTACAGTGCTAAGAAATATGGTGAGTCATATAATATGTATCTTCTGAACAGTAGATTGACATCTTAAACCAAATATATATTATTTAAAAAAAGGATCTTAGACTAGGATATCCATGAGTATTTTATTTACCAAAAGTAAACATTTTTTTTCTTATTTCAAAATTATTGGCTATTCTCCTGGCTTTTTGCCAAAATTTCAAGTTAGTTATACTCTTGTATTTCTGCAAAATTTGTACACTATTCAGTTATTTTCTTTCACACGAGTAAATGTTTTATGACTTTGGACACTTGTCGCAAGTTTAGCTTCTTCATGTTATTTTTTTAATGAAAGAAAAATAATACTCCATTCAGTCACGAATTTTCTTAATGAAAATTTAAAAAAAAACACTCTTTGGTCACAATATCAGAGTATTTGTAATAAAGTAATCTTATTTAAGGGTAAAAACATCTTTATTACTATTATATCTACTAGTATATTCAAAGCGAACCAATTAACGGAAACAAATAAGTGTAATGTGAGTATTTTGAATATACATATACGCTTAAAGCCTCTGTGACGGAAGGGGATACATCATTTTGTTGTTCGTGTATGCTTCTACATACGTATTAGTCATGTAATAAATAATGGTGAAAGAAATATGACTTAATATCAGTGTGATGTTACATGAAACGTGAATTTTTAAGAGGAGGTTAAGCTTTTTTTAATTTTGGATGACCAGGACATTTGTCTTTTTTTTATACATATTGTAGGCCCTGTTCATCGTAACCCTATCACTGGAGAAGTGTATGATGTGTCAATGAAACAAAATAGCCAAATAAACGCATATGTAAATGGAACAGGTATGGCTTTAAAACTTGATTTTAGCATATGTTAAAAAATAAATATAAATGGGTTCACAAATGCAGGCAACAGAAGTTTTGTAGTTGGCAACAAGTAATAATTTCAATTAATTTTGGTTCTATTGGTTTCTGGTAAGATTCTGTTATATGGAATATTGTTTATTTACAGAATATTTTGTCTAATCTTATTCAGATTTCGTGTTTATTTAAATAGATATATTGCCAGAAGAGTTAATAATTTCTATTTAAAACATGTCTGAACATTTTTCTAGAGAGTTATTTGTGCAAAATCAATTTTGTATAATTTCAAACGTGTATTTTTTTTTATTTCTGTAAGATACAGCAATTTAGAAGTAAGTCAAAAGGTTTGTGTCGCATTCTGTAGGCTTCTTTTGTTTCTGGTTGAAGTTTTATTCCAACTAAGTTTGTGTGACAATAAGTCTGTAAAAAAGAAATTATCTTGAATTTTAGAAATTAAGTTTCAATTTAGTTTTTCTTTCGTTTAGACAGTTTCCATCTAGCTATTGGTGTTTTCCACAAATAAAAGTTTAAAATTTTTAGTAATATAATAATGAAAATAATCCGAACTCTCGAAGGCATAAGTAAATAACTTCTTTATTTTATAGGGAATATAGGTGTTAAGGATCTGTTAACTTAAAGATAAGTATATTACTATTTTATTTTGAATATTTACGGTTTTGCCGCTTCGCATTTTGTATTTATTTAGGAGGACTTAAAAATTTGTAGTTCGATCTAAACTCTTGTCCTCAAGCGCATGTGGACAGAATGCAGATAGCCCATTGCGTAGCTTTGCTCTAAGAAAACAACAAAACGATCTGAATTCAGATTTAGTCTTAGCAATGTTTACAACATTTTTTTTTCTTTTCATGAATCCTAGAAATATTCACCACGCGACTGCCTTGGAAGATGTTCTGTTTGCTGCTCGACTATCTTAGAACATATTGTGTTCACCATGCTAGTGTCTTAAAACGTATTCTGTTCACCACACGATTATCTTTGAACATACTCTGTTCACTACAAGACTGTCTTGGAATATATTCATATGATATGTAAGCGTTTGAGAAACGGGGGGGGGGCTTCTAACTGCGTAGTGATATTTATATAGATATCTGTATTGACGTTCCCCGGTAAATTTATGTATTGAAAACGCTAAAATCCGATTCCCCTCGGTGGACAGAACGCGAATAGCCTGATGCACTGTTTTCCAAGTATTAAATAGAGGAGCCCCCCTAACTCAGTGAAGTTTCCGTTGCAGCTCGGCATGGCCAGATGGCTGGGGATCTCGACTCGTAATCTGAGGGTTACGGATTCGAATCCCCGTCACACCAAACATGCTCGCCCTTTCAGCCGTGGGGGCGTTACAATGTGACGGTCATTCCCACTATTTGTTGGTAACAGAGTAGCCCAAGAATTGGCGGTGGGTAGTGATGACTAGTTTTCCTTCCCTCTAGTCTTACACTGCTAAATTAGGGACGGCTAGCGCAGATAGCCTTGTGTAGCTTTGCGCGAAATTTATAACAAACAGATAAGTTTCCGTTGCGCCCCTTTCACATTAAAATAACTTTCTCTAGCGATAATAGCAAAATAAACATTTTCTTTACTTGTTTTTAATAATCTTTTCATATGAGAAATGCTTATAAAGAGTGAGTGAATACGAGAGCAAAAACAAAAAAAAACGTTTCCAAAGCCAAGTGATAGTTTTGTAAGGTTATCGTTGTCTCCAATTCTTCTGTTTCCTCCGTCGTTATTTTTGGGCTCTCTTACCACACTCCCGCGCCCCACAGTTTGAAAAATACTGGCCTAATGTGTTTAGTTTTTCGCAAAAAAAGGAAATGGACAAATATTGTATTTTCTCATGTTATTATAAATGTCGGATGCGTTCTGACAAAAAAAAATAAGGAAATACAGTATCTTTAGAGAAAAAGGAAAAAAAATATTTTTGCTAAAAATTTATAAATGGAAATATTCTGTTTATCAAGATATATACATATGTATATTCTACATATAGAGCTGCACACAACTTGAAATTGCACTGTACTACCTGTAAAATGAGTATTGTCAATCCCAGTAACTTCATGATAACTGTTTTATCGAGTCAGTATATATATTTGCGGCCCGACATGGCCAGGTGGTTAGGACGCTCGACTCCCAATCCGAGGGGCGCGGGTTCGAATCCCCGTCACACCAAACATGCTCTCCCTTTCAGCCGTGGGGACGTTATAATGTGACGGCCAATCCCACTATTCGTTGGTAAAAAAAATTAGCTCAAGAGTTGGCGGTGGGTGGTGATGACTAGCTGCATTCCCTCTAGTCTTACACTGCTAAATTAGGGACGGCTAGAGCAGATAGCTTTGCGCGAAATTCAAAAAACAAACAAACAGTATATATTTACGAAGCACAATGAAAAAGTAATACCAAATTTACATATAAGTTGCCATACATTTTCTACCGAGCAGAACAAGAGATCCAAATATTTACTCTACAGATCAGAACCAAATAATCTGCAGACCAGTTTTTATTATTATAATGCTGACAGCTCTTCCAAAATATAAATAAGAATCTGAAGGATCTTTCAGATTCTCCTTAAACGTATTTTCCACAGTTCTTATAATAAAACTAGAAAACATAAAATTATTTGCTCCTCTGGTGTCAAAAACCGAAAATTATATTTTATAGACTTTACTTGCCTCGTTTGAAGACCTACAGTGGTCTTATCATCGTATAAAAAACACACAATGAAACCAAATGTATTTGTTTGTTGTTACGCTCAAAGTCACACAAGAGTATTTTATGCAATTCTCACCGCGGATTTCTTAACCCGATTTTTAGCATTATCAGCTCTCAGACAAATCGTTGAGTTACCAGGGAGCACCCCAATATGTTCGTGCATTTCGGATATTTGCATAATAAAAGCATAATAGCTGCCTGCGCTAGCTATCCCTAATTTTGAGCTGTTACCCAACTCTTGAAACTCAGTTTTTTTTCCCAAAATAGAATATTAGTAGCAAACAAAAATATTGAAGAACGCACAGCAAGATATAGAATATTTGTTTGACGAGGACTCTCTGTGCTAGTAATCCCTAATTATGAAATGATAGAATAGAGTGAAAGCATCTAGCAAACACCACTCACGGGAAACTCTTGGGCTATTCTTGTCAGATCGGATAATAGAATTTGACCGTCGCTCTTATAACGCACCTACAGCCTAAAGTGTAGAGCGTATATTTTTTGTTTCTAGTAGCTCTACATTTAACACGCTAACCACTGGGCTGCACTCTGTTCGCAACCTAAGGAAACATTCTGAGTATTATCGAGATATTTACGTGTGACCTGTACAGTTCCTAAACAGCTCAATATCACTTTAACACATATGTCTATAAACGAGTTTAAAATCTTATAAGTTAAACTAGCCGTTGCACTGTAGCAGTCTGTTCTTATTAAATTCAAAATGTGGTTTAATTTAATACATAAAAGAAAAAATAAATTATAATTTCATTTTTAGAATAATTTGCAAATATATGTATGTGCTCATAAATGTATTTCTGACATTTTATAATGTTGTTGTTTTTTTTCTTCCAATAAGTAAATTTAGTATTTATAATACTACCACTAGTGGTTATTGTACCAACAGTCTTTTCTTCCAACAAAAGTGTATTGTTTCAACTACAGGAGACTTTGTTTTGTTACTAAGCACAGAGCTAAACAATAAGTTTGCTGTGTTCTGCCCATTGCGGGATATCAAAATCCGATTTTTT